CTTCCCGCAGTGCCATGAGCAGGATAATAACAGTAAAGGAGACAATGAATTGTGTCCACTGAAGACTTCCATATGGACGCTGATTCATTATGTTAATAAAAATGGGAAGACCAGACGTTGACCATATTCCTATTTCATGGCTGGGAGACTCATGGCTCAGGAAGGGGAAACTTCCAAATTTGAGGTCAGAGTCCAAATTCCAACTCTAAGCTCCCGATTACAATTTGGTTGGTCTAATTACTATCATCTCCTAATGACAAAGGCTGCTTTAGAGCCAGATGGCTTTCACGGCTGGGACCTGAGTAGAAATGCAAGTGATGCTTAAGATGGAGAACTGGAAAAACCAGAGGAGAATCAAGATGGTGGAGGAGTGAGTGGAAGTCACACTGACCTCCTCCCAGGACCAACCTGGAATTACAACTAAATTGTAGGGGAATCACCTGGAACAAACAACTAAACAATAGCAAGAGAAGAGCCTTGTAACCTTGGACACAGGAGAATTGGATTTAGCGCAATCTAACTGGTAAGGAGTGCGGTAGACCCTCGAGAAGGTGGGCGGGGCACCCACAGGTGGCAGCACCGGAAGAATATTGAAACAGCCAGTTGGATCCCCCGAAGAGTGGGGTCTGAACCAAAAGTGGGGATCTCTAGCCCACAGCACCAGAGTCCAAAAAGTACACAGAAAACAGCCAGCTGCGAAAAGCGGCAACGTTGCTCTCTGCCAGAGACAGGCAGCTGGAGACGCAAAGAACTGTGTAAAGGGCCAACACATAAATTTTTCTTTGCAGTCACTTACCCTGGTTTCTGGCAAAGGCAGGGGCAGAGTGGGCTAGAGAAGCCTGAGGAGACACAGGGGAAGGAGGCTTTGGGGAGAGAACTGGGAGTAGCTGGCAGGATCTCGGTGCTGACTCATTCCCCATGCAGCAGCAGCCATCTTGGTCTGGCAGAGACCACTCCCCCTGGGTGGCAGCACCATCAGAGGACCCAATAGCCCAGCACCCAGGTGGGTTTCCACCCTGCCCTGTGCTGTCTAAGGCAGCCTGCTGAGTGCAGAGAGAATAGATTAACAGCTAAAGGAGACAACCACAGAGAGTAGATTACTTGGAAGTCTCAAACAGACTGCCTAAGTTCTGACAGGGACGACATCTGACATCATCAGAGGCAGATCCAGAAAGTAAAAACAGTGGTCTCCAATCATAGAAGTTCACACCACAAAGTCAGGAAATCAAGAAAGATCAACTTAAGAATCAGAAGCAAAAAAGAAGAGTCTCACAAATAATGGGAAGACAAAAAAATACATCCCGCTAGAAGGGAAAGGAGGAATCCCCACAAAGAGAACTAAATGAAATATAGGCAAGTAAACTATCATATACTGAGGTAAAAACAGCGGTTCTAAGGAAACTCAATGAGCTCAGTGAGCTCAGAGAGAATTACAAAAAACTGCAGGGAAACTACGAGGAACTTACTGCAAACTATATCGGCATGAAAAAGGACATAGAAACTATCAGTAAGAGACAAGAGGAAATGAAGAATACAACTCCTGAATTGAAGAACACAGTAGAAGGAATCAAAAGCAGGCTAGATGAAGCTGAGGACCGAATCCATGAGCTGGAGGACAAGGTAGAAAAAAGCTCCCAGAAAGAGCAAGAAAATGAAAGAGGACTCAGAAAGAATGAAGAGGCATTGAGGGAAATGCAGGACAACTGGAAACGTAATAATATCCATATAATAGGGATACCGGAAGGAGAAGAGGATGAGGAAGAGATAGAGAACCTGTTTGAAAAAGTAATGATGGAAAACTTCCCTAATTTGGAGGAGAGAAAAAGTGACACAAGTCCAGGAAGCACAGAGGGTCCCACTCAAGAGGGACCCAATGAGGCCCACTCCAAGACACGTCATCATTAAAATGGCAAATATCAAAGACAGAGAATCCTAAAGCAAGCAAGAGAGGAAGAGGTAGTAACAGATAAGGGAGCCCGGATACGGCTAGCATCTGACTTCTCAACAGAAACACTGCAAGCCAGAAGGGAATGGCAAGAAATATTCCAAGTCATGAAAAGCAAAGGCCTGCAACCAAGACTGCTCTACCCAGCAAGGCTCTCAATTAAAATGGAAGGCGTAATAAGGACTTTCCCAGACAAGAGAATGCTGAAAGAATACAACTCCACCCAACCAGCGCTGCAAAATATGCTAAAGGGACTGCTTTAAGATGAAGAAAAAGTTTCTATGAATACCCAGTTCCTTTCAGAGTTGCCAATACTTGATATTACCAATATTTGTAATACTCATTAATCTGATTGCGACAATGATGTTATTTTAATTGTTCCTTTGCTATTTGTTGGAACTAAACCTGTTTTAGTATATTTCTTGCCTATCTCTATTATTTAAAAAAACTCTTTAAATGACTTTTTGGTATTCTTTATCCATTTACTGAGTAAAGGTTTGTAGAACTTTTCCCCCAAAAAAAACACCAGAAAAAGAAAAAAACCCTATTAACCATGTTTTAGATGTGTTGTAAATACTTTTCTATTCTATTCCTTGTCCTTTACCTTTTTTAATATGTATATTACTATATAGTTAAATGTTTAATATAGTCATATTGTCAATATTTACTTTATAGCTTCTGGGTTTGAATACTTTACTTCAGGTCATGAAAAATATTAGATCTATTTTCTTCTAAAACTCCTTAGATTCTATATATTGAGTTTTAACTCACCTGAATATTTCTTGTATAATGTGTGAAATAGGGCTCTATATTTGTTTTATTTCAAGTAATAGTGGTCCATGCACCTTATTTGTTGAATAAGCCTTATTTTACCCATTGATTTGAAGTATCAACTTAATCATATATTACATTGTCAGACAGACATATACATTTGTCTCTAGAATTCTCATTATATTTCGTTGATCTACTTGATTGTTTCTGTGCTGGTGTCATGTTGTTTTAATTGCTGAGACTTTATAATGGTTTTAAATTTTTTTAATATTTTATAATTGACTTTGACATTTAAAAAAATAAATAAAATCAATCTGCATTGAAGAAAGAAAGAGAGAGAGATGGAACTCCTACCTTTTGTGACAAGATGGATGGAACTGGAGGATATTAAGCTAAGTGGAATAAGCCAGTTTATGAAAGACAATTACCATATGATCTCACCTACAAGTGGACTCTATTCAACAAAATAAACTAATGAACAAAATAAACCACAGGTACGGAGACATGGAGCAAACTGAAAGTGACCAGAGGGGATGGGGAAAGAGGGCAATGGTGGAAAGAAGGAGAAGGGACTAGACAAAGAACATGTATGAATGACCCATGGGCATGGACAAGAGTGGGAATTGACTGTGGGAGTGGGAGGTGGGGCTGGAGGGGGGTAAAGGGGTAAACACTGAGACAAATGTAACAGAACACAGATGATTTATAAATTTTTTAAAAAAAATTTAAAAAAAGAATACCAAAACATCAATTCAAAAGAACCTATGCACCCCAATGTTCATAGCCGCACAATTGACAATAGCCAAGTGCTGGAAGCAACCTAAGTGCCCATCAGTAAATGAGGGGATCAAAAAACTATGGTACATTTACACAATGGAATACTACACAGCAGAAAGAAAGAAAGAGCTACTACCCTTTGCGACAGCATGGATGGAACAGGAGAGCATTGTGCTAAGTGAAATAAACCAGGCCGTGTAAGACAAATGCCATATGATCTCATCTATAAGTGGAACCTAATCAGCAAAGCAAGCAGGCAAGGTAAATATGACCAGCAACATTGAAATAAAGAAGAAATCGATGGGGATGGGAGGGAGGGATGGAAGGGGTTAGCAGGGCAGGGAAGAGGAAGGGTCCAATCAAGGAACATATATGAAGGACATATGGAGGAAGCCAAGGTTGGGAAGGACTGAGGGTGAGTGGTGGGCATAGGTGGAGCAGTGGAAAGTGATGGCAGGTAAATGGAGACAAACATATGTGAAAAAGAATAAAAAAGAAATAAATAAATTTAAAAATAATAATAATAAAACGTTACCCAAAAAGTAAAAAAAAAAAAAAAAAAAAAAAAAAAAAAAGGATGGAGAACTGGTGATGTCGGAGTCGAGAGGAACCAACTCCTTAGGTTCATTCAACAAATATTGAACACCTACCAAGTGCCAGGTGGCTGGGTTGCCACCAGGATGGGAAAGTACAAAAGAATCAGACACTGGCCCCAGTGTGAAGGAACTCAGGGTAGGAGGAGAGGTGGGCAGGTGTAGAAATCTCTGTAATACACACAGAGAGAAAAGTGAGGTGAGATCTGAGAACTTCATCTATTTTTCCATTCAGTTAAGTCATTTATTCAGTCATTCAGACACTCTCTTAAGTCCTCTGATATAAAGATAAATGAAACTGGTCTCTATCCCCTGAAGTTACCATTTAAATTCTGAATAGGAGTCACCCACGGAGCTTTCCAAAACACAGTTCCTCAGGCCCTAGCCCAGACATACTGATTCTGAATGTCTGGAAGCGGCACCGAAGAGATCAGAAGCTCTAGTTCTAGGTGTTCTTCAGGTTTGGGTCTTAGTCTTGCGGGATAACAAGTGAAGGGAGCCAAGAGGAGGGAGAGCCAGAGATAGGAAGAAAGGCTTCTTGCCCACGTCTGCCCAGGAAGCCCTCCATGTCACACTCCAGCACACTTGTCTGCAAGTCCTGACCCCAGGCTTCTGTATTTACTGCAGTTTTCCTAGATGACTGGTAGGTTTAGTCCCCTTGGACCTGGGTGTGTCTTGTCTTTGAAGCTGAGTGCCCTCATGTTCCAAGGTCATTGTGATACGGGTTCCAGGGGCCTTGTGACACACAGCTGGCTGGCTATGTTCAGGTGTGGGGGGTCAGGAGAGGCCCAGTTCCCCCTGGGAATGCAACTCATCCCCCAAAAGGAAGATCATTTTCCCTGCTAATTAAGCATCACTTAGAGCTCCAAGTAAGCTCTGATTAGAGGCTGCTTCAAAGACAACCAGCAGGAGCCATGACCACCCTCTCTCCCGAAAACAGCCTCTCTGCCAGGCTGTCAGCCTCCTTCATCCTGGTGCGTGTTCCTAGCCCCTCCCTCCCCAGCCTCTGGTTTGTATTAGGCTATTTCCCCTGCTGGGTCAGAAATACTGGAACCATGAGCTGGCCTAGAAGGGGGAGCAAGGCCGGTATCACCATCAGCACCCACAGTCGAGCTGAGAAATACAGAACCCCTTTCACTCTTCTCTCTAAGCTAATGTCACCTTTTCCCTGTATGTGGCATTCTAACTAACGAGCTTTAGTTTTGCAAGTTCAGTCTTGAAGGTGCTGATTAACTTTCCTTGGTGTTTTTGCCAACAATTTCGGTATGCTGCCGCCAGGCGGCAATAATGCTTTTGTTAGTGGTGGTTCCAAGCTGAGTTAGTAAGATTTATTCATCAGAAATCACCCTCAGTCATAAAAATTTTCCACACAGTGTATTTTTCAATATTATAGTAACTAATTATAATTTCAAGTCTCATTAATCATAGCGATTAAGACAGTGATACATAAAAAAGCAGAAATCCTAAATGGGCACCTCTCTCCCTGAATTTTAAATGTTATTGCTTTATTGCAGATTATTACCAGGACTTGATTTGGATCTCCTCATTCCTCTAAACTAAGAGAAAGATGATAATAAAATAAGTTGTCATAGAGAATTTATTATGTATAATGACTATAGTAAAGTTATAATTTATAGTCGCTTATTCTAATCATAACCCAGTAAGATGCATGATGCTATTATCGTTCTTCATTTTTTTAAATTTATTTACTTATTTTTTCTTTTTAATTTTTCACATACATTTGTCTCCATTTATCTGCCACCACTCTTTCCTGCTTCATCCATCCCCACCTCCCCACCTCAATCCTTCCCCACCCTGGCTTCCTCCATGTGTCCTTCACACCTGTTCCTTGATCTGACCCTTTCCCTTCCCCTCCCCACTAACCCCTTCCCTCCCTCCCTCCCATTCCCATTGGTTTCTTCTTTTCTTTCAATGTTGCTGGTCATATTTTCTGCTGCCTGCGTGCTTTGCTGGTTAGGTTCCACTTATAGGTGAGATCATATGGTATTTGTTTTTCACCACCTGGCTTATTTCACTTAGCATAATGCTCTCTAGTCCCATCCATGCAAAGAGTAGTAGTTCTTTCTTTCTTTCTGTCACATAGTATTCCATTGTGTAAAATGTGCCATAGTCTTTTGATCCACTCATTTACTGATGGGCACTTAGGTTGCTTCCAGCACTTGGCTATTGTAAATTGTGCTGCTATGAACATTGGGGTGCATAGGTTCTTTTGAATTGGTGTTTTGGGATTTCTAGGGTATAATCCCAGCAGTGGAATCGCTGGGTAAAAAGGCAGTTCCATTTTTAGCTTTTTGAGGAAATTCCACACTGTTTTCCACAATGGCTCCACAGTCTGCATTCCCACCAACAGTGCACTAGGGTTCCCTTTTCTCCACAGCCTCGCCAGCACCCATTGCTTGTTGATTTGTTTATGATGGCCATTCTGGCCAGTGTGAAATAGTATCTCATTGTGGTTTGAATTTGCATTTCTCTGATGGCTAGTGATGCTGAGCATCCTCTCATAGGTCTCTGGGCCCTGTGTAGGTCCTCCTTGGAGAAGTGTCTGTTCAGGTCCTTTGCCCCTTTTTTAATTGGGTTGTTTGTCTTCCTGGAGTGGGGTCATGTAAGTTCTTCATGTATTTTGGATATCAAACCTCTGATTGAGGTATCATTGGCAAATATATTTTCCCATACAATTGGCTCCCTTTTCATTTTGCTGATGTTCTTTAGCCATGCAGAAGCTTCTTATTTTGATGAAGTCCCATTTGTTTATTTTTTTCCTTTATGTCCCTTGCTCTAAGGGACATATCGGTGAAAATATTGCTGTGTGGGATATCTGAGAGTTTCCTGTCTATGTTCTCCTCTAGGACTTTTATGGTGTTGAGATTTATATTTAAGTCTTTTATCCATCTCGAGTTTATCTTTGTGTATGGTGTGAGTTGGTGGTCGAATTTCAATCTTTGGCATGTAGCTGTCCAGCTCTCCCAACTCCATTTGTTGAAGAGACTATTTTTACTCCATTTTATGCTTCTGCACCCATTATCGAATATTAATTGACCATAGAGGCATGGGTTTATTTCCGGGCTCTCTGTTCTGTTTCATTGATCTGTGTGTCTGTTCTTATGCCAGTACCAGATTGTTCTGATCACAATCGCCTTGTAATATAGTTTGATGTCAGGTATTGTGATCCCTCCTACTTTGTTTTTCTTTCTCAAAATTGCTGCAGTTATTCGGGGTCATTTATGGTTCCATATAAATTTTTGGAATGTTAGTTCTATGTCTGTGAAATACGCCATTGAAATTTTAATAGGGATTGCGTTGAATCTATAAATTGCTTTGGGCAGTATGGACATTTTGATGATGTTAATTCTTCCAATCCATGAACACAGTACATGCTTCCATTTATTAGTGTCTTCCTTAGTTTCTTTCTTCAGTGCTGTGTAGTTTTCTGCATACAGGTCTTTTACTTCCTTGGTTAAGTTTGTTCCTAGGTACTTTATTTTTCTTGTTGCTATAGCAAAGGGGATTTTTTTTTCCTGATTTCTGTTTCTGATATTTCATTTGTAATGTACAAAAATGCCTTCGATTTCTGAATATTGACTTTGTATCCTGCTCTTTTGCCAAATTCACTCATTAGGTCCAGTAGTTTTTGGAGGAGTCTTTTGGGGTTTTCCACGTACTATGATGTTATCTGCAAACAATGATAGTTTTACTTCCTCCTTTCCAATTTAGATGCCTTTTATTTCTTTTTCTTGTCTGATCGCTGTGGCCAGGGCTTCTAATACTATGTTGACTACATGTGTTGAAAGTGAACATCCTTGTCCTGTTCCTGATCTTAGTGGGAAAGCTTTTAGTTTTTGCCTGTTGACAATGACTTTGGCTGTAGGTTTTTCATATATGGCCTTTATGATGTTGAGGTATGCCCCCTTTATTCCCACTTTGCTAAATGTTTTTATCATAAATGGGTGCTGTACCTTATCAAATGCTTTTTCTGCATCTGTTGATATGATCATGAGGTTTTGGCTTTCCTTTTGTTTATCTGATGTATTATGTTTATTGATTTGTGAATATTGAACCATCCTTCCATCCCTGGTATGAATACCACTTGATCATGGTGGATCATCTTTTTAATGTATTGCTGGATGCGGTTTGCCAATATTTTGTTGAGGATTTTAGCATCAGCATATTGGCCTGTAGTTTTCTTTCTTGGTTGTGTCTTTATCTGGTTTTGAGATTAGGATGATGTTGGCGTCATGAAAAGAGTTTGGGAGCCTTCACTCTTCTTGGATTTCTTGGAATAGTCTGAGAAGGACAGGGGTTAGCTCTTCCTTAAATGTTTTGTAAAATTCTCCTGTGAAACCGTCCGAAGGAGGGTTTTTGTGTGCTGGGAGTTTTTTGATTACTGCTTCAATTTGACCCGCTCTTCTCTGTCTGTTTAGGCATTCTGCTTCTTCTTCATTCAGTGTTGGAAGGTTATATTTTTCTCGAAATTTGTCCATTTTATTGAGGTTTTCAAATTTCTTGGCATATAGTTGTTCATAGTAATTTCTTACAATCCTTTGCATTTCTGTGGTATCAGTTGTTATTTCTCCTCTTTCATTTCTGTTATTATTTATTTGGGTCGTCTCCCTTTTTTTCTTGATGAGTCTGCCTAAAGGCTTATCGATTTGTCAATCTTTTCAAAGAACCAGGTCCTGGATTGGCTGATCCTTTGAATTGTCCTTTTAGTCTCTATATCATTCAATTCTGCTCTGATCTTGATTATTTCCTTTTTTCTACTTGCTCTGGGCTCTGTTTGTTGTTGTTTCTCCAGTTCTTGAAGATGTGGCATTAGCTTGTTTACTTGAAATGTTTCTATCGTTTTTAGGTAGGCCTGTATTGCTATCACCTTCCCTCTCAGGACTGCTTTCGCTATGTCCCATAGGGTAAGGACTGTTGTGTGTTCATTTTCACTTGTTTCCAGAAACTTTTTGATTTCTTCTTTGATCTCATTACTGACCCATTCATTGTTTAATACTGTGCTCTTCAGTGTCCATAAGTTTGAATTTTTCTGAATTTTTTCCTTGAGGTTCGTTTCTAGTGTCAAGCCCTTGTGGTCTGAGAAAATGCTTGTTATTTCGATTATTCTGAATTTGTTGAGGCTTGTTTTGTGTTCTATCATGTGGTCTATCTTTGAAAATGTTCCATGTGCATTTGAAAAGAATGTGTATTTTGCTTCTTTGGGATGAAAGGTACTATACATGTCACCTAAATCCATTTGATGTAATGCTTCATACAGTTCCCCAGTATCCTTGTTGATGTTTTATTAGAAAGATCTATCCATTTTTAACATCAAGGTGTTAAAATCCCCTACTATCAGTGTGTTACAGTCTCTATCTTTCTTGAAGTCCTCCAAGATTTTCCTTATATATTTGGGTGCTACTATGTTGGGTGCATATATGTTAACAATGTTTATGTCCTCTTGATGGATTCTTCCTTTGAGTATTATAAAGTGTCCTTCTGGGTCTCTTTTTATGGCCTCTGTTTGGAAATCTATTTTGTCATATAAGTACCCCTGCTTTTTTTCCCTGTCCATTTGCTTGGAACATTTTTTCCCATCCCTTCACTTTAGTCTGTGTGGGTCCTTTGTTCTGAGGTGGGTCTCTTCTAGGCAGCATATTTGTGTCTCATGTTTTCTTATCCATTCAGCTATTCTATGTCTTTTGATTGGGGCATTTCATCCATTTACATTTAAAGTTATTATTGATAGGTATTTATTCATTTTCTCCCTTTGTACCTGTGATCCTCTCTTTCTCACTCTTTTTCTTCATCTTCTTAAAGCAGTCCCTTTAACATATCTTGTAGTGCTGGTTTGGTGGAGGCGTATTCTTTTAGCCTTCTTTTGTTTGGGAAACTCCTTATTTTGCCTTCCATTTTAATTGAGAGCTTTTCTGGGTAGAGTAGTCTTGGCTGCAGGCCCTTGCTTTTCATGACT